TATTCATTGAAATTTTTGTTCGTTATAAGCTAACACAGTCCTTAATCCTTTTTCTTTTTCTGGTTTAAAAGTTTATTGCATTTTATTATGTGCTCTCTACATCCTACTTTTTCATTGTGATATAAAACACAAAATTTCTCATCTTGACCATTTTTAAATGTGCAGTACAGTACTGTTAACTGTGTCTATATTGTTGTGCAATAGATCTATGGAACTTCTGGATCTTGCAAAACTGAAACTCTATATCCATTGAACAGCAGCTCTCCATTCGCCATTCTGTCCCCTCACCCCTGGTAACCACACTCTACTTCCTCTTTCTGTGTTTGATTACTTTAGACACCTTGTATAAGTGGAATCGTGCAGCATTTGTCTTCTTTGTGGCTGGCTTATATTACTTAGTAGAATGTTTTCAGTGTTCATCCAAGTTGTAGCATACGACAATTTCCTTCTTTTTTAAAGGAGGAATAATATTCCTGTGTGTGTGTGTGTGGATCACATTTTGTTTATCCATTCTTCTGTCCATGGACATTTGGGTTGCTTCCATCTCTTGGCTATTGTGAGTGATTCTGCAGTAAATATGGGTGCACAAATGTCTCTTCGAGATCATGTTTTCAATTCTTGTGAACAAGTATTCAGAAGTGAGATTGCTGGACCCAATGGTAATTCTATTTTTAATCTTTTGAGGGATTTCCCATACTGTTTTTCCTAACAGTTGTACCACTTTACATTCCCACCAACAGTACACAAATTTTTAATTTCTCTCCATCCTCATCAGTACTTGATATTTTCTGGGTTTTTTTCCTTTTGATAGTGGTCAGCCGCAGATTTTTAATTGAGCACCTATTATGTGTCAGGCACTGTTGTTGGAACTGCTGGCACAGCACTGAACCAAAGATTCCAAAACAGGGAAAATTCTCTGAACAAATGAAGCAGGTACTAAAGCAAAGAGCAAGCTTGCCAGCACAAACTGTAGAGCGGGATCAGGAACAGGTTGAGAGACAGAGAACAGAAACCAAAAAGGCAGGAGGCCATTCTCCTAGCCTCCCGTGAAGACTAACACCAGACTTTAATGAGCAGGAACCGATCGTTTAAATCAGAATCAGTTATGAAAAGCAGAAAGCCTGTTTCCTAAGCCACCCTGGCTAAAGGCCACCAATTGCTTGATGGGCAAGACTTGTACATTTATACCAGAAATTTTTTATACTTTTCGTATTTTGTCACATATAGGCATGTATTTGGAAATATACATAGTTCTTATTATAGAAAGTGAGTTTAATTTTTTCTCAGTAAATCTTTTTTTTTTTTTTTGAGGAAGATTAGCCCTGAGCTAACATCTGCTGCCAACCTTCCTCTTTTTGCTGAGGAAGACTGGCCCTGAGCTAACATCCATTCGTATCTTCCTCTACTTTATATGTGGGATGCCTGCCACAGCATGGCTTGACAAGCGGTGTGTAGGTCTGTACCCAGGATCCAAACCGGTGAAACCCGGGTCACCAAAGCAGAACATGGGAACTTAACTGTTGTGCCACCAGGCTCGCCCCCAAAAATCTTTTTTTCATGTTTGTAAAGTCTCAGTGAAGTAAATCATTTAGGTATATAACTGATTAACAGAGGCAAGATTTTGGAATCCAGATTGTGCAAATCAGGCAAGCAGCACCTGTTACGGAGTATGACAGTGTAAATGCTTATATACATGCAGACCTGCTACATCTAAACGAAGACCCAGAGGGATGACACTCCCACCTCGCGTAGGTCTCCTTAGGGAGCTTCTTCTCCATATACTTGGTACCTTGTGCGCATCCTTATCTTGTGATTATTTGTTGGCATGGATATTTCCCCCACAGGAAATCTGATATCCTTAAGATCAGGATTGGGTAAATTCATTTTTGTATCAATAGAATGATGGCACATGGTAGGTCATCAAAAATATATTTTGAATGAACTGATTCAGATTTTCACAGGGCATGAGGAAGCATTTGAAGTTATCTGGGTGAGAGATATTAGTGGCCTTCATAAGAGGAATGTGGTTGGTGGGTTGTTTGGGAAGCAAAGTTGGGGTGAGCAAGAGTTGAAGTCAAGAGTGCCACCCAAGTTTCTGGCTGGCATAACTGGGTAGCACTAATCTGTGAGAGAAGGAAGACAGGAAAAAGGGCAGGTAGAAGGGTAGAGAACAGGAGGAGAACTCAACTTGGATATGTTGAGTTTAAAATGTAATAGAAATCCACTTGGAGGTCTTCAGAAGGGGTTGTAAGGAGAGGTCTCAGCTGGAGGGTGTATGAAATACTCAGGAACATTCTGATGATAATCAAGTCAATGGGATATTCTGATTATTCAGGTCTTTTGGTGGAGCTGAGAATGTACATCTTCAATCAGTGGTTCTAATGAGCAGATATGATTGACAAACACTGTTTAAAATTATTTCAAAGGGTTTCTTTAGTAACATAAGGATGAAACCTCTTCTGTTCTCCAATTGTATTACTCTTCTGCACTTTATTCAGCAATTAGAAAGCAACAATAATGTAGCATATAATGTAATATGGGCCTAGTTCCATGAAATTTGGACCAAGTGTACTCTAGAAAAGAAATCCAAACTCCTTAAAGAAAAACCTAGTCCCAGACTTCACACAGCTAAACAAATATATTTCACAGGAACAAATGCATTTCAAACAAATACATATACTGGCCTATAACTACTTCTATTCTCTCCGTTGGTATCATTAGAGAGCCAGGACTCTACAGTATATATGCCACTGATCAAATGTAATTTCTGCGAGAAACAACTAATGAACTAAATATTATTAGGTGCCAACAGCAAATAAAACATTGTGTTCAGATTCTGTGAAGGGAGAGAGAAATGCATGATTTGTGGTCCTTATCATCTGGTGGGTGTGTTGGACATGTACCCAAATAAATTTGAGCCTAGGATGAATGAAATCCATACCATTATGAAGCACAGAAGTAGGATACACGGTCAAGAGAAGAGGGAAGCTTAACTTAAACTCAAGGAAGAGTGGGTTTCATGAAATAAGAGGGCTATGTTTAGCCCTGAGGAATGAGTTAGGGATTTCTGTAAGTAAAGATGATGAGATGATAGGGATTGCTAATTCCAATTTTATAATCAAGGACACTGCAGTTTATGGAATTTAGTAAATTTCCCAAAGTAACACAGTCAATACACATCAGAGATGAGGTTGACTCTAGGTCTTTTTGACTCCACACCCATGTCTTTCAACCCTACTTTAAGCCATAAATATTCCAGGGTGGCTGGAAAGGAAAGTGCGTCACAAGGCTACGTAAATACAGGTTGAGTCACATGTTGGAAGTGACCTGAATGGCAAACTAAAGAGTTTGGACTTTATTCTTTGCGGTTTTAGGGGGACACATGAGGGCTTTGAAAATAGACAGAGGGATAGGCTGTTTGCCAAAAATCAGATTACCCCTCTCCAGAAGATGGACAATAAAAACCAAACAGTGGAAAGTGGAGAGAAGAAATTTTTTTTAATGAAAACTACTACTTTTTAAATGTCTAACCATTGCCCCACAATAAAAATTCTGAAAATTCTGATATAATTAAACACAAGACTTTAGAATAGGATGGAAGTGTTAACACAAATTCCCAAATTCTTGTTGTTTAATGAATCTATTTTCAAACTGCTTGTAAATGCACAAAACGTAATATGCAAAGATTCTTTGATATGTAGAAAGTATTTCTCTGGTCAATCGAGAATTCTGAATGCAATTGTAGTTCCAGGTGAAACTATCAATTGGGATGAAAGGATGTGTTCCACTATGCAAATCGTGTAACAGCATTTAAGAGCAATCCAATTGGAATAAATCATTAACATTTTCATTGCCACCTATGGACTAGATTTCTTCGTGGGGCATAAAGCATGACAAGACTTTTGACTGTTTAATATAAGCATCAAGTAGACATCCATTTATTTTTTATTAGGAAATTCGTAATAGTACAGGAATAACTTCAATAACAGAGATTATCACTCACTCTATTAGAGCTCTTTCCATTACTTCAAATATATCTAATGCATTTGCCAAAAGTTTAATTAAAATGAGATGACTGGAATAATTAAAATCATAGTAAACATTAGACAAACTAATAAAACTGTGATTTTTTTCTTTCATTCTTTTCGGCTGTGCTAAAAGAGGCCATTTCAATTTTCAGTAATGAGCTGCTCAAAATAGTGTCTATGGTATTAAAAGTCTTCTTGATATTTGTCTTAAAGAGGAATGAAATTTGACATTACATAAACTTCTATCAGTGTGGAACAATGACACTATCTTCCATGAAACTTAAAGATATTTCCAATAAGTGAATACAGCAATTCCTACCTCAAGTTATTACAAATTCTTTATAATAAGATATTATTTTGACAAACTCTGACTGGCTAGCTTAACTCTAAAAACTATGTAAAGATGTGTATGTTACTTAAATATAGGCAACCCATTTCAAGATCAAGTATGAATGCATATATATTTTATGTATGCATTGTTTAAAAACTGAAAGCTGAAATATTTATAAATAATATTTTAAAAAATATAGAGTTCCAAATGGGTTTTCTTTTTAGATAAACTTATTAAATCAAAAGCTCTTCAAATATAATCTATATATGAACTTTCCATCTCTCTACTTCTCCAGGAAAGAACTAATGAAGGTCAAGAACAGAAAGCCATTGAAAATACAATGTCACTCACAACGGCATTCTTTGGGAATCCTCATTTGCTCTCTTCACCTCTCCCGGAACACATTACACAATAAGATGCAGTACACAAGAACTATCAAAAGGGAGCACTTTTGAGCCACCAAAATTGTGTGTTCGCCTAAAAACCACAACCTCCCAACTACAGACAATGATACTATCTCAGGTATTTTATGTGCCAAAATGATCATTAAAAATTAAGCACCACATATAAGCTGCCATTTAGAATATTAATTTACCTTTGCTAATCATCTTTTTAACTTGAGGCTAAAAGAGTTCACTTACCATTCGGATAGTCAGGCTCAGTCCAGGAGATGTGAAAGGAGTGGGGTGAAAAGGAATGAGCTCTGGGGGTCGGCACGCCTTCGGGGGTGCTCTCGTCGGTCAGGGCCTCGCTGGCCTCGCTCACTGTGCACCCACCCCCCGTGCACGCCTGAACAGAGATGCAGAAAAAGCACATTTCACTCTGGGTCCCAAACTTTAGATGAGCATCAAAGAAAGAGAATTTGTAATAAGAGTTCCAGATTCATTGAAATAAGGCTCCTTTTACTCCCCCAAATAAATTTGTTTCAATGCTGAGGTTAGCTTTTTAGGACACAAGACAGCCATCTCCGATAATTACAAAATAACCCAGAATGTATGAATGCATGAATTATAAATATATCCTAAGTTGGCGCCTAAAGATATAGGCATAGATTGACTGGGTGAACACCCCAGATGAAATTAGCCTTGCACAGAGGTTCCCAGAATGAATCTAACACACGCGCGTGTGTGCACACCACATGAGAAAAGTCCTAGAGACTGAAGACTTTTCAGAATAAAACAAGTGATTTCTAGGAAAAAAAGATGTACACAAATATAAATGCCTTTTATTTACTATAGTGTGACCAATATGTTTAAAGTATAACGCAATGTGAAATTGAATAAAATTGCGTTTCTCGTAAATCAACAACCAAGCAGTTGTTGAGTGACTGTTTAATGACTTAAACGGTCAAATCATTTACTCATGTGCCAGAGGAGGTGGGCTTCATCATACGGCTGACGAAGTTAAAATGATCACAGATTCCCCTGACTCCTTAATAAGGTATTACTAATGCCAGAAATGGAGACATGGATGTTAAAGATGTTCAGAAACTCCTGTGTGCACTTTCATAACAGACTGCAAATAATTCCAAAATAAATGTTTAAGTGTATTAGGAAAGTATCTTCTTTACCTAACTTATTGGATAAACATTTTTCCAGAAAATTTAGACCTGCATATAGGGTTTTCCCAGCCTATATTTGCTAGCAAATATTAGTAATTATATAACATAGATATTCGAAAACTACATTTTAGCTTTGTTCAGACTCTCTTTAGTTTACATGTGTAATTTACACAATGAAATTTAAAAATCTCTCCAAAAGCACGAAATTTTACCAAAATTGATAAGAAAGTGAAGCAAAATCATAGGACAATGCAAAAAGTAGGTGGTTATTTAGTCATTTTCGTGGAAGGTAGCTATTACTAACATAAAAAATTAAAACTCCTCTTTATTTCTTTGAGCTTGCCTCCTGCTTTTCAGTTTGATACTGAAGGAATGGCCTTTTGACACTTAAAGAGGTGGAAATTCTTTTTCCTAAAGATAGGAAGAAGCTGACGATCTTTGAAGATATTTTCTTATGTTGAAGTATTATACTATTTGCAAAGTTGTTGCAAATTGTTGCAAATTCCTTACAAGTATAAATAACAATGTAAGGTCAATAGGGAGATAATCTTGCTTCCTATTGTAAGAAGATAACAGCAGCCGTGTCTTCAGGATAATTTCTCATCAGCTTAAGCAAGTTTCATAAGGGTCAAATTGTGGCCTGGGCATGAAATTGCATTAAAATTGGGGACCTAATTAACCTCTGTGGGTTTTCTCTTAATTCTCAGCTGTGGCATGTGCATATATAAGAGATAAACCATACTTCTCCTGAGAAAGGAATCTTTGCAAATAAAGAGGAATCAATTGAGCTTGTGGCCTGACTCAAAGCTCCAGGACACATTGCTGTTAGCTCAAGAAATAACTACCTGGACATTTAAATAGAAAAATTAAAGCATAACATTTCAAACGTGCTAAAAGTCCACCAGAAAATGTGGCTGGAAAAGAGGCCACATGGGACAGCCAAGTTATCCAAGGCAGAATGGACACAGGAGCATTCTTTCCAGTCCTCAGAGAGAGATAAATGTGTCCATCCACTTGCATTTCCTACATTTTTTTTCATTAAGGGGGTAAAACATTGCAGCATCTTATTGTTAAACTCATAACACACTAGGATTTAATTCTAATAATCTATTCGTCTCTATTGTTTCTCTTATTCATCTCCTAAGAATTTTCCCCTGCTAACTCTCCCCAAAGAAATACTGTGTTATATGATGTATAATTATATGTTTTTTAAAACACAGTGTGAATTAAAATTTACTTTGTTTTGAGAATTTTATGATGCCTTCTGGGATAAGTGAAAACATCCTCTCGTTTATAAGCACTGTTCTTTGGGCTGTGTCATCTAAGATCTATAAAACAGTAACTTGACAAAGGAGCCTCTTGGATTCCAAGGAGTTTATGAGAAAATTTTTCTTGTAAGTGAAACAGAATTTTTAAAGGGACTGCTGAAATAATCAAATTCTCTGCAAAGTGTTTTATTTTGTTCTGTCCATATTCTTTTTGTATGCATTTAGAAGCACTAAGTAAACAGTGCGATATCTTAGTTCCCTCAATAAACAAATAAATGTTCTTAAAGTTGCTTCCAATTGGTTTAATCCAACTGATTTTATCTAAATGAAATTGAAGCAATCTGTACCTTGTTTGACCTGCCAGTACCAGAGGCTACTGCATTCAAGGAAACTGAATGCTGATTAAAATTCTGATTTGAAAAAACTAAACAAAACAGTGGGATTGATTGAAAATGCCTTTATGAAATGGCAAGGTCTTTGAAAGATTTTTGAGCCATTAAAATAAGGTGTTTCAACCCATCTCTTATAGTTTTTATCAATTACAGCCATTTAAAAAGAAATCACATGGTCATAATACTACCCGGAAATGATGAGTAACTTCTGACCAAATAGGGGAGTCCATGTTGGTATAATGAAATGCATAACCAGTGAAAACAATCAGTTGTTTTTGAAATAATGACTATTAGGAAGATCCAAAATCAGCATTCTTTAGTTTGTTTTCAGATAAGCAGAGTCTGAGGATGCTAAGAATGCAGTATTTTTTAAAGTATGAAGAAAAAAATATGGTCACGTTATCCATAAATGATCCTTTGAGAAGTTAAGCTTATCATTTCCAAGAATCTTTTCAGGAAATGTATGCAACATTTAATGTTCATCAGGAAGTAAATATCTAGCAGTAATATGAAATTTATCAAACCATACCTATCTTGATACCTGTTTGTCTTACTAGCTTCTTTATTTAATTGCTCTCTTAATATCTTTATTAGGACCTATCACACTTCACAATACCATTTGTCGAAGGTAGCAACATGTTATGCTGTTTCTTCTAGTGGAAAGATCATATGTTTGAAACTACATACTCCCCAACTCTGACATTTTACAGCAAATTATTTAATTCATACCAGAAGTCTAAGATTCCTTATGAAATAAGTATACTTAGTGTTTATTCATTCATTCATTCATTCAAGAATTGTTCAGTGAACTTCCAGTTTCCACCAGGCACTGTGATTGACCCTGCAGATAGAATTTTGGAAGATGCAGTTTCTCCCCTTCAGGAGTTTATCCACTCATCCAGGAAAATTAATTGAAGCCACACAGAGTAACATATCTACTCCAAGTCTGGAGAAAATCACAGATGTTCAAATTCCCACTTTCCTCAATTCTGACGGCTACTGAAAGACTTTGTTATCTGCATGTTTTGTATTCCAGCATCTAGTCAACAAGCTAAGACTATCTAAAAAGGCATCACTTCTTGGCTGACAACCTGATGTCCATCTACTGATCTAATGACCTTGAAACCTAGTTATTACGTTGAAACTGTGAAATATACAATAATTCCTCAATTAACCAAGATGAACCTAAAAAGTTCTGGTTCATTTAATTTACCAGTTAACAGAGTTCTGTAAAAAACCTTTTAGGTAAATACTTCCTGAAAATATATTAGTGTATTTTCTGCCCTGATAAATACAGTAAAATTGAAAATAATGTGAGCAAATTTATTTCCCTAACAAGAGTTAGGGCAAGGACTTCAACATCTCCCTGACGTCTTTCATCAACATTATTCAGTGGCTGACAGATCTTGTCTGACTCCATAGAATATTGTTTGGGGGTGACCTTTTCAGTATCATAGAATTTTAGGGCTCAAAGAGACATTGAAAGTCATTTATTTCTGGGGACCGGCCCCATGGCCGGGTGGTTAAAGTTCTGCACACTCCACTTTGGTGGCCCAGGTTATGGGTTCAGATCCTGAGTGTGGACATACATCACTCATCAGCTGTGCTGTGGCTGAATCCCACATACAGAATAGAAGAAGACTGGTAACAGATGTTAGCTCAGGGCAAATCTTCCTCAGCAAAAAACCCCAAAAAACATTTAGTTCAAAATCCCAATTTTAGGCTTGAAGAACATAAAACTCAGTGCAGTTAAGTGAATTTGCCTTAGGTCACACACTTAGTCATAAAATCTGAATTAATACTCAGGGAAATGGGCTCCCAATCTAGCGGTATTTACTTTTCAAGGTATTACAGATTTATAAAACATAGGAGGTTGAGGAGGACTTTGATTAACTACACAACATATCCTAAAAGTGGCCTTGAGAGTAGAACTTGGCTTCATGTCATCTTCCCCCTTCTGCTAAAAACCAAGACACAGCAATTTCTGTTGAATTTTGTATGCTTCCAACCAATAGAGACATGTCTTGATTTTGATATTACCACTATTTGAAGAGTGTGGATTTCTGTATTTGCTTTTGAAAATCAAGTTAAGACACTTCTTACTTCTTGGGTCATAAAACTAAGTAATCAAAGATGCTGTTTCATAAACCCGTCTGTGTGCAGAACACCTAGGCACATGGAGTCAGCTGGGAACAGGATTTCTAGCATTGTCTGATTGCCCTTGTTTTGTGGTGTCAGGTCAGACAGTTAGCAATAGTTGAATGTAGTTTATTTTCTCGTGGTATAATATTTAGAGCATTCAAGAGCATGCTAAGTAAAATGAATGCATACACAGTGTCTACATAAATGTAAATTTATTCATAATCAAGAGCAGAATATTTTCTATGGCATTTATCAAAGCAAATATCCTTATATAGGTATTGCTATAAAATGAAGAGTGTGTTTAAAACAAATAGGGACAATCTCATGTTTATATTCAGTTATTTTCAGATGTGCTATTAAACTTAAAAAAGATTATATTTCATCAAAAAACAAAAGGAACTATTGAGTATAAATTCCACCGTAATATCAAGGTCTTTTAAAAGACCTTCGTATAAAAGTGCTATTTTGCATGAAAAAATGCTATTGTCTGTCTAAAGAAACCTCTAAACTATGTTGATTCTAGGGTTTTATTAAGTGACTGTTCTTTTGAGATAGAAGCGTAATGTAAACCAGAATATAATAACAATCAAGAATATTTGGGGGTCATTTAAACTTTCATTTAAAAATATAGGAGCTAAATTTTCATACTGTGCATTGTTTTTCAAATGAATACAAGCTCCATAGGGAAATAACCTTATTAATCTAAGCATTATAGAAAAAGCCATCAGCAATTATGGCATTCTACAAATAATAAAAAAGAAGTAATTTCTGATAATCCCAAATTAGATTTGGGGAAATCTACTGACTCAGATTGTTATTCTATCATTTTGCATAATATGAAATAAATATGTAGGTATTAGATCAACAGAATTCACATTTAGGATATGAAGCGAATTTTCAGTGTAAATAGCAATACACGAGCTTTTTTTTTAAGTGAGGGAGGGAGAGAAGATGGGGTGGAGGAAAGGGAAGCAATGAGACAAAGGATGGGGACAGAGAAAGCGACAGAAGTAAAGTGAACTTACTCCCAGCTTGATGAGATATTTAGTACCAGGGAAAAGGTAGTGTAGCGTGTGATCCTGGAAAAGTTCTGTGCTGTTATAGATGACATCCCAAATTGTAAAATCGTGCGTGTGATTTGAAATATATAATATATAGCGCTCCAGAACTCCATTTACTTTTCTTGGTTGTTTCCACCTGGGAATGGAAAAATAGAGTGCTATCATCATCATTCATTCAAATCAAAACTGAGAAGTGCAGGATTTTTAAAGGACACGTGAACTTGGATTTACGCCACTGAAAATAACACACTGAAGGCTCAAAAGAGATTTACCTTAAAGAACTCAAATAGTTATTAAATGTGTATTCTAGTGGCATAAAAAAATAATGACATAGTGCCTGCCTTCTAGTTACTTATGATTTTAATTCACTAATAACACAAAAATGCACGTGTGAGTACTAGATTTTGAACTTAAGTCATAGAAGAAAAATTAAGAGAACATCTGAGAACTTTTAAGAAATGAGAGAGAATAACATAATAGTCTTGAAAAATCCAGCAATCTAATATAAAGTTAGTAAGTAACTACAGGATATGGAGAAGTTGAGGATTGGAAGGGCTTAAATAATTAAGACTTCCTGAACGAGATGACATTACTTAGATACATAAGATTTTATTCTTAACAGTAGGATTGGATTTGGGAGGGAAAAGGAGAAGTAGAGAATGTTCCAGATGAAGGTTACAACGTCTCCATGGGAATGAGCAGGACAAGTCATGGAATAGACAGGAGATTGGTAAATGGAGAAATACTTAGAGCAGTGGGAAATCTTAGGAAATAAAGCCAAGAGAAAAGTTTAGGCTTGGAACAATGGAATATGAATCATAATGTCTTTCAGCATTAACGAATATCCTTATTTATTCAATCCAAACTCTTCTTTAACAGATGAGAAAACCGAGACCAAGAGAGATAAATGTAAACAAGTATTAATTGGTGGTAAGAGAGGTTTATTAAGCTTTAATTCAGTATTACAACACACTTTGTACCTCATGTACTAGGAAATGGGCCAGAATCTCTAATATCAAAAATAATCTGAATATGCCCATATGTGAAAGTTCCTTTCTGACTTCAACCGCAGGTAACAAGAAGGTCCTAGTTTATACTCAAAAAGGAAAAAAATCTATCTATTGATATATATTTTCTTATTTCAGATCACTACAAATAATGCCTCACATATGAAAAGCCCAAGGCAGTCATGTAAGTGGTCAGTTTTTCTTGTATTGACATTTGCCCGGAATCTGTGTGCATATGTAGCTCAGCTTGATTGCATAAAGACAAAATGGAAATTAAGTTGGCAAGTGATAATCAAAGGTTCTCAGAACCACTGAACTAATCACTTCTATGCATTTAATCACAATAAAATTAATTTTATGTCACAAACCCTTCCCTTGATTGAACTCACTGGGACTCTTGCGTGAACCAGCGTGTGACAGAGACAACATTTCTACTTACTGTACGTATATAGTTCTAGAATCCAGGACAGTCAGGATCGGGGAATCCACGTGTTGTGGTGGCAGCTGTGCCGTGTACAGTATGACCAGGGAACTGTTTGTGCATCCCACACTTGTGCAAGCGCTGAGCAGAAACTGGTGGGGCGTAAATACTGCTAAATCTAGGGGGTGGGGGGAAATAAGAATTTATTTACCATCGTACTTTTTATTCAGGAGATTTTACTCCTCCTCTACATTCTGACCTCTGAGAACTATTAAAGTAGAGCTTAAAATAAGAATCGATAGCTGTAAAAATCAATAGCAATAAAATATAGGCTGTTTCATCCTTTAAATATACTATGGTTATTTTCAAATAGACAAGTGTCAGTCAAACTCTTGGTTTAAGTTTTTCATTTGAACAATTTGACTGTTCTTCTTGAATATCGTGACCAGGTAAATCATTTTCTGAGTTTAGAGTTAGTTCAATGGCTCTGTTAAAAAATAAATGAGACATTTAAATTATTTTTAAAACATATTTGAAGACAACAGGAATTGCTTTTGCAATGCAAATAAATAGCCTGTAACAATGACTTTGCACTTGTAATTCTTTTTGCCGAATTCGTTTCTTCTCCTGTCCACCTGACCAACTGTTATTTGACCTTGAAATTGTCTACGCTCAGTGCAAATGCCTGTTTCTTTCTTAAGATGTCCCTAACACATCCTGCGAGGACCCCTGGCACCAGATGGAGCTACAATTCTCTCTTTTTTCTCCCAAGGTATTTGGACTAAACTTTAACACTTACAACACTGTGCCATAACGATTTGTTTACATGACTATCTGATCCATTAGACTAAACACTGTAAAGGAAGGAATGGTACTAGATTCATTTTGCATCTTCAGTATCTGGCACAATGTCTGGCACATTGTAGATTGTGAATATATGAGTTTGAATAAAGCAATAAAGAATTAATGAATGAGATGGTCTCGATACATTTGAGCTAGGTATGAAAGATGATTGAGAGAGTGGGATGGTTCCCTCGCCAGCCAATCATCTCTCTCTCCTCTGAACTTTTCCACTTTATACCTGTCTATCTTTATAACGGATTCCATATTCCTTTGCATTGGAACAAACTAATCTGTAATTTACTAATTCAATTCCAAAATACCCTGAACACTTCATTTATAAAGGTACTCAATAATTACTTTGTTGAATGAATCTAGCCAAAGTTCAGTCAACTTTGCCCAAGATTTAAACATCAGTCATACTTTTATACTCCTAAAAATAATCATCATTTTCTGGAATATTTTGAAATAAGTCAGTCACAATTTAAGTAACATATTCTTAAATCTCATTAACCTTGAACCATTACAATTTCATGTTTAAAAGATTAATGAAATGCAACCTAATTCAGGGAAATAGATTTCGCGTTGCACTGATAGCAAAAGTAAACCAGGAGAAGAACATTTTGATTTTCATGCAAAATATAATCAATTGGTTAAACACGTAGGTCATCAGAAGAAAGGCAACAAAAAAAATTTACACTAAATATAGTCCCTCTAGAACAAAAAGTGATTATCAAGAAGAGACACAATGCTTTTTTCTTTTTTTTTTTAAAGATTGGCATCTGTGCTAACATCTGTTGCCATGTTGCCAATCTTTCTTCTTTTTTTTCCTTCTCCCCAAAGCCCCCAGGTACATAGTTGTATATCCTAATTGTGAATGCCTCTTGTTGTGCTATATGGGACACCACCTCATGACCTGATGAGTGGTGCCATGTCCGCGCCCAGCGAACAGCGAAACCCTGGGCTGCTGAAGCAGTGTGCAAACTTAACCACTGGGCCACGGGGCTGGCCCCTGACACAATGCCTTCGATTAAGCCTTATTTTCTTCACAACTTTATATTAGAGGTACTCAACGGTACCAAGTCAAGGTGGGGCACCCCCAAGCAATGTAGTCAGAAGATATGTTGCAAGGACACTTTGAAGTCAGTGTTAAAACAGCATGGCATTGCCCGCGACTGCTGAGTGATGGCAAGAACAGTTGCGCTATGTGTGCACAAGTCAGACATAACTGGGGTGCCTTTATTTGGACCAACATTCTATGGAACCTATGAAGCTAAAAATCATGAGAGCAGTGGCCTTAGATGCTACAAAGAGAGTAAACTATTATTTACTGTGGGAAAACGTTATGCAAAGAGCAGCTCCTAGACGCAGGCCCAGTCTTGGCTGAAATTCTAAAGTGTTAATATGCTAACATAGTATTTCTGCCATTCCCGTGATCTGTTCATCTTCTCTTTCTGATTCTCAGGCACTTGGTGACCTTATAGTTTCTCCCATGTGTCTGAATTCCTTGCATTCCCAAGGAAGGGGATGCTGGGGATTTGACTGTAAGTCTAGCTTCAGGATCAAAACCAAGGGGGACACAGAACCTAGAGGAAAGGAGGAACCCCTCATGGGTAAGTCAGCACAATTAGGAGAAAGCTGTAGTATTTGAACATGAGAAGACATCTAACTTTTCTGAAAGAACATGCCACAGCCAGAAATTGTATTCCACGTGGTCAAGTCTGAGTGACTTTAGAATATTTTGCACGAGTACCTCTCCTAGTCCTAACCACGTTGTCTTGGTCAGCTGCAAACGAGACTGGATGCTACAATGTTCTCTGGCCAATGAACTCTTTGCAGGGGGGCAATTTTTCTTGCTTTCTTACGTTCTAGCCTGTTGAGGTAGACATTTGGCTACCCAGTTTGTAGGTGTGGAGAAGTCATACCATTCAAAGGTGGCCCAATACTTGCTTGTATATGAGTCCTGGGATAGACTTGCATATCTGGGAATGCTTAGTCGTCTTAAGCTCCTGGCATCAGACTGCATCATCACAGAATCACCATATCACAGTACCTCCTTTCCACAGAATGCCCCACTCCCCTTCATACTATAGCCTCCACTCTTTGAAGCCAACCTCAATCACCTAACTCCTAAACTCACTGAGAATATCTGCCTCAGATGGCAGTAGCATCTGTAGCAATTAGTTCCTGGGTTACTGTCTGTGCCTGGATTCTTCTGTGACAAAATCTCCAACTCCGTGGGTTGAGAAGCATCCATTTCTGTGATGGTTGGGACTCAGGGAGACTGGGATGAGGAAGTGAGTGTGCTTAGAAAGGTTTGTTGTTGGGGCCGGCCTGGTGGCACAGCGGTTAAGTGCGCATGTTCTGCTTTGGCGGCCCGGGGTTCACCGGTTCGGATACCCGGTGTGGACATGGCCCCGCTTGTCAAGCCATGCTGTGGCAGGTGTCCCACATATAAAGTAGAGGAAGATGGGCATGGATGTCAGCTCAGGGCCAGTCTTCCTCAGCAAAAAGAAGGGGATTTGCGGCAGATGTTAGCTAGGGCTAATCTTCCTCAAAAAAAAAAAAAACAAAGGTTTGCTGCTTGAGAGGGCCAGTATGACTGGTGAGCCAGGATTGAAACAGAAAATGTCAAGTCCTCCATTTATAGTCAGGGTCTACCCCTAGACTATTGAAGGTATCGTGAAGTTGATGGGTGAGAAAGGTGTCTCATTTTAGGAGACAGCATGGTTTTTGTTTTTGTTTTTGTTTTTTTAAAGATTGGCACCTGAGCTAACATCTGTTGCAATCTTTTTTCTTCTTCTTCTTCTTCTTCTTCTGCCCAAAGCCCCCCGGTACCTAGTTGTATATATTCTAGTTGTGAGTGCCTCTGGCTCTGCTATGTGGGATGCTATCCCAGCATGGCTTGATGAGTGGCACCATGTCCGCGCCCAGGATCCGAACCAGCGAAACCCCGGGCCACAAAAGCAGGGCACGCGAACTTAACCACTCGACCATGGGGCCACCCATGAGACAGTATGGTTTCAAACTGGATGTCTAACATGGTTTAACGATATAAGTGCCATATAATGTGAAAAGCACTGCAGAAAACATAGAGCAAGAAGAATCAGGAGTGCTGGGTAATTTTTTTTTTTTTTAAAGATTTTATTTTTTCCTTTTTCTCCCCAAAGCCCCCCGGTACATAGTTGTGTATTCTTCGTTGTGGGTTCCTCTAGTTGTGGCATGTGGGACGCTGCCTCAGCGTGGTCTAACGAGCAGTGCCATGTCAGCGCCCAGGATTCGAACCGACGAAACACTGGGCCGCCTGCAGCGGAGCGCGCGAACTTAACCACTCGGCCACGGGGCCAGCCCCAAGTGCTGGGTAATTTTAAAAGGCAACAGTCAGAGATGTTAACTAAACTTACTGTTATAACCATTTCACAATATATATGTCAAGTCGTTATGCTGTACACGTTAACCTTAGACAATGCTGCATGTTAATTATATCTCAATAAAACTCTCTTTTTGATAGTAGCTGTTCTAACAGGTGTGAAGTGAAATCCCATTGTGGTTTTGATTTTCATTTCCCTGTTGGTTAATGATATTGAGCATGTCTTCATGTTCCTGTTGGCAATTTGTATGTGCCTTCTTTGGAAAAATGTCTATTCAAGTCCTTTTCCCATTTTTGGATCAGATTCTTTGTTTGGTTTTTGCTGTTGAGTTATATGAGTTCCTTACATATTTTGGATATTAACCCCTTATGAGGTAGATGGTGTGCAAATGTTTTCTCCCATTCCATTCGTTCCATTTTCATTTTGCTGATTGTTTCTTTTGCTGTGCAGGAGCTTTTTAGTTTGATATGGTCCCACTTGCTTATTTTTGCTTGCACATTTGGTGTCATCTTCAAAAAATTGTTGCCAAGACCAATGTCAAGAAGCATTTTCCCTAGGTTTTCTTCTAGTAGTTTTACAGTTTGAGATCTTATATTTAAGTCTCTAACCCATTTTGAGTTAACTTTTGTGAGTGGTGTACAATAGGAGTCCAATTTCATTCTTTCGCTTTTAAATATCCAGTTTTCTCAAGATCATTTATTAAAGAGACTATTCTTTCCCCATTGAGTATTTTTTCCTCCCTTGTCAAATATTAGTATGCTGTATATGCATGGGTTTATTTCTGGGCCTGATTCTGTTCCCTTGGTCTCTATGTCTGTTTTTATGCCAATACCATACTATTTTGATTGCTATAGTTTTGTAATAAAGTACCTTCTTTCTCAGGATTGCTTTGACTATTCAGGGTCTTTTTAGATTCTGTATGAATTTTAGGATTTTTTTGTTTATTTCTGTGAAAACTGCCATTGGA